AATATAACGGAGTATCCAATCTGGTCGCGTCAAAAGAGACATTAAGGGCAAACATCAGCCGCTCGGCGTGATCATCCCAGTCGGATTGATCCATCTCGGTGACGTATGCTGGAACACTCCAAATGATCGTTTGTACAGACCTCTCCTGTTGTCCATTTGCTTGTGGGCGGTATCCGAGTGTAGTACGTTGCCGGCTACCTAAAAGTTCCCGAAACCTTGTGAATACTTCGCTCATGAACCGCAGATACTGATCATGCGGTATCATGGAAGACGCTCCGAATCTCTGGAACACTTGCTCCTCATAAGCCTCAGCGACATCCTGAGCTGTTGTAGACGACATGGGTTCACATTAACCATATTTTAGCTTTAAATATAAATTTAATAAAGTATTATTATTATTCTTTTTTGTATCATATTTAATTATTTGTTTTAACTTTTTCCCTTTCTTTTGTAATTGTTTTCCATTTTTATTAATAATAAACCTTTTCATTTATAAGGTTCAGATTTTTTATGATTTTTAATATAATATACAAATTGATTTAAAAAATATAAAACTATACGTGTATTAAAACTAAATTTATTCGAACACGTTTTCAATAAATTTTGGAAATGATTTTTAATGTTCCTATTGAATGAACTAACCTGAAAACATGTCTTCAAACAACAAGAGGAAAGTATTCACTCTGGCCGACTCGGGCATGTGAGTCATGAAATCCATAGATATTGCCTCAAACGGGCACCGTGGTTCAATATCCGCTGGGGAGGGTCCAGCATTCGGGGGACCTCCTTTTCCACTGGCACAGTCTACACATTCCTTAACGAAGTGTTGGACGTCCGCGTACATATCGGGCCAGTAGAATACGGTATGTAGCCTCTCGTGCGTCCGGGTGATCCCTTGGTGTCCACCTTGAAAATCTTCATGCGCATGGTGCAACTTGTCATCTCGAAGTGAACTCGGAACTACCAGTCTCAGATTGTCCACGGCGTCTCGTGGCCTTCTGCGAACAGAATTCGGGAGTCTATACAATATTCCTTGGTCATCCAGAACGAACAGGTCTGCGACTTTACTGATCTTCTTCAGACGTGTAGATGAGAATCTGGCTAGATCGTCATTCAGGAATGCTCTGAGCTCTGGTACGTACTCATCAACCTCCTGGTGAACTCTGATCCGTCTCCAACGTTCAGCCTCGAATTCTAGAGGTCCCATGGGCGAAGTTACATCACTGTCAACTTCTTGAGCTCGCGATCTCGTGAGTACCGCCATGACTCGGGCGGCAGAAGAGAGAGGAGCACACCCGTGGCCAGAGCCACGTCTTGTTCCGGAATTGCCATCTTCTTCGCCTGGATCATGCATGTGGCCTCAACCGCGAGCTCAGGTATGCATGCCTTCCGACGGCTTCACTAACTGCTCGCGGATATAGACACTACTTCCAGGTTTCGTTTTTTGAGGTCATCCTGGACGGTCCCGGATTCACCTTGGGCAAGTGTCTTCGCGATCAGAAAATCAGCAGCCTGGTTGACCTCGCGCTTCATGTGTACCAATCGGACTGACTGGAAGCGCTTCATCATAGGCTCACATTCAGCTAGCCTTCTTTGGAGATTAGGCTGGTTGTAATTAATCAGGCCTGGAACTTGCTGAATCACAATTCTCGAGTCACCCACAACGACTAGGTCTTGAATCTCCCATTCTAAAGCCATTGCAAGCCCCTTGAGCAGTCCAAAGTACTCTGTGTCATTTACGGTGACACCATCCATGATGTATCCTCGGGCATCCAAAACCTTCAATTCAGGTAGCTGCCACAGAATACATCCGCAGCCGCCCTTCCTCGGTGAGGTTTTGGTCGCACAATCAAAACTCAGGACCACTCGGGAGTGCTCTTCTAAGAGCAGTTCGATACGCACGAACGGAGGCAGTCTAATGCGCCCCTTGGCTGGAATGAGTGCTTCAGCGACCTCGTCCAAATGCACCCTGGGTGTAATTCCTGCACCCATAACGGCGGCTAGACCATCCTCATCTCGACAAACCTTCCGAATTCCTAGGTCGTACTGTGAGAGAGCAACGCCCCATTGCACTAGACGGTCTTCGGCAGTCTTGGAATTGATGACCCACTTCAACGCTGAATGTCGGGTGTAGATTATCAGAGGGCATCCTTCGATCAGGTTCTTGAACACATGGAGAACCCGCATCACAGCCAGAACTTCCTTCTTAGCAATATGATACTTGAGCTCAGCGTCATTCAGGACGCGCCCTGTGTAACGTACAGGTTGAACAAGCCCGTCATGCTTCTGTCCGAGAACTGCACAAGCAGACCACTGATTTGCATGAGGGATAATCACCAAAAGGTTTTGTTCGATCCGGATGTCTGAGCAAAGGAGTAGACACAATCTTACTTTTCAGGATCTCGAAAGATTCCTTCGCTCGAGACAGGTCTCGTCCTGCGCGCACTTGATCTTCTGTCAGCTCAAATAGTGACGCAACTACCATAGCATAGTCTTCGATGGATTTGTGGTAGTAATTCAGGGTGCCTAGAAATGACTGGACTCCTTTCATATAGTGACGCAACTATCATAGCATAGTCTTCGATGGATTTGTGGTAGTAATTCAGGCTGCCTAGAAATGACTGGACTCTTTTCAGGATAGACGGAAATGGTAGCTCCTGAACACCTTTCACGATTTTCGGTGTAGCACGTATCCCTTCAACACCGATCTCGTGAGAGAATACGGTATAACACGCTTCCCGAATCCGCTCTTAGGCAAACTGACGGAGATACTCCAGTACCGTAACCGATAGAGCAACGCATCCAGATCGCCGCATAGTTGATCCCTACATCAATTTAACCCCAAACAATAACACAACTCTCGCAATGTAGCGGGGTGTGAGTGTTTGCGGTTGCAAACCAGTTTCGAGGCTCTTCCTCGAACGCATATATCGGAATGTATCTGGGTACGAGTACTGTAGTTAACCTGTTCCTAGGCGTGTTTCGTGGTTGTGATTGTGTCGTGTTGGAATATTAACCGTGATAATAGATCCCACGTGGCCGCCTAATGTGTGATGTCGTCAAAATACAAGCCTGGCCCCATTTGGGATAGTGCGGGGATGTTGCGCCTGAAATCCGCCATTTGCTCCACTAGCGGTGTAATCCTGGATTCCGTATCTATGTTGTCACCTGGCGCCTGAGGGTCCAACCGCAGGTAGTCTAACGCATCCCGATCTACAAGTGCTTCCTCTTTGGGTGCTAGCCGCACGAATCCCCATAGACAATTTTTGATCATCTGCTGGTAAATCAGCGGGGCGTTTCAACCCGAATGGCATACGTACACATTGGAAGTGCCCGAATGGGCAAGTGAATGCTGAGATGAGCTTAGACTTCTCGGATATTCGGACCGCCCAGAAACCACTCGCCATATCGAGATTCATGAACGCCATCATTCTTTCAAAACGAGTAATGAGATCATCGATCAGTGGCAGTGGGTAATTCGTCAACTGAATGAAACTGTTCACGACCCGATAGTCGATGCACATCTGAATATCCACTCCGGTTTTGCTTGAGTACGATCACAAATGGGGACGCCCATGGCGATTCAGAGTGTTAAATCAACGTAGCTTCCAGAAGCTTGATCAATAACTTGTACACCTTGATTGCCAAGTTCGGACAGACCGACCGGGGTCGTTGTTCGACTGGCTCGATGTCGCCCACATCTAAATCGCAGATGCCACCTCTCGCCGGCGGTGGAGCAGCATTTTCGTCGCCTAACAAGACCTTCTGGTGCATTTTCAGGATGGCTTTCATCTGTTTCTATTGATCTTCTGTACTCTCGCCAGGTTCTCCAACGTCAGCAGCCTCAATATCACATTCAGGAGAGAGACCGTCCAAGTCGGGTAGCATAACCAACTGATCTCTCCACTGAGACATATGCTCACTCCCCTCGCGAATATAAACTGCTGGTTCCAAATTGAATTCTTCAGCTCTCTCTTGCATACACCTGGTATATGCTGCATCAAGTCGTTCGAGTAATTTTTCAGGCATGGCAGAAGAAGGCAACTCTAAATCCTCGTCTTCAATGTTTGGGTCATCCTGGAATGCGTCGCATTCAGATTCCCGAGCCATTTCATCAAAGACTTCGTTACAGGATCCCGAATTGATAACATACCCACTACCCTGGGCGTTGACATCCAGAGTGACAACTTCAGGTGAAACTTCAACAGGCATGAGTGAACCAATCATACTCGGGGAGTACCCCCCCCCACGTGTAGTATCATCAGCTAGCCCCATGGCGTCAATGCTTCCTCGCGGTTGGGATGCCTCCACAATCTTCGTGACCTGAGCTCGCTCGGGGTACTTTGGCCTCATCAGTAACTTCGTTGGCCACTTGTATGAGGGGCCATAACCGCAAGCGGAGCAGCATCCCGAGCATTTGTTCGTATGTTTCATGGCGTACTCTAGCCTTCGCCGACAAGGTGTTCTCCTTAAAAATCCGTTGCCATTCCATGTACCTTCGTAATACTGGACGCACAAATTGTCCAACTATGGGGATAATTCCATACTCTGTAATCCGAACAACATGGTGTCCTAGGCTCGATCCAACAATCTCAGTCCGAAATGTTAACCACTTTTATTGCTACAGCCCACGATCGTGCGCCGTAGACAATTTGGGTGACCCATTGGTCCCCTCGTCCTGCACACACAACATCTTGGAGCGGACGACACTGTCCATATCGGATAGCCAGATTTACATGTTCTCCGGGTCGCAGATGTAATCCTCGAAGCGGACAGAGTGATATATCCTGGTGTTCACGTTTTCGTATGGTATACCCGTACATCAGAATAGATTCTTCATCAGGGAGACCTACCATTCCTTCACGAATACCTAGGCGCACTCCAGCGCTGAAGATGAAATCCATTCCCAAAAATACATACACTCCTTCTCCAATGTTCGTTACTCAAACTTCCATGACATACACAACTCGCCATCCCAAAGTGATCTTGATCTGTGCACTCGAGGTGATATAGCTCGGGACGTCACCTAGTCCTGACACCTTGATCCGCTTCTGTGGATTTAACTTGATCTTGAGCCTATGCGCAAGGTCCCAACTGATCATACTCACAGTCGCTCCGGTGTCAAGCAGTATCTGCGTCCTGAAATTGTTCACTGCTCCATGAACCGTAGCACACTGACTTCTTTCCTCTTCACAACCATTCTCGACCCACCAACCATACCGTTCCCCCGCGTTTAACTTGAATTCAGGTTTGCCTTCAGGTTCCGGAGTCAATGGTGATCCTAAAACACTTTGTCGAATACCAAAGGAACAGGTTTATCATGAATCATGGAGGTCATACATTGTGGGTTATCTTGGTTCCTGGTCCTCAAATCGGGACCGACATATGCTAATACACACAATTCTGAGGGTTCTCTCAGCCCGACGCGTACCGAATCCCCATTCAGCTGGCTTAGTGATTTAACGGTACTCCCTCAGAATCGTCCTCTCATTCAGGATGTCCTCCCGAACGTGGTTAGGCAGGTCAGCTAGACCTCCTTGAAGAACGAGTCTCTTGATCCCTTGGAAAGTATTCCATTCTTCACAGTGTCCATCGTGATATTCTTCCGACGTTGGGCACGACCTGGTTGCTCAACTTCGAGTTGGGGGTCCGCGTCTCTGGCATCGTCCACATGTTAGATCAGTCCAACACTTCTCCGGGCAATGTCCAAACTTCTTGCATTTATCGCAAAACTCCAATCGATCCGGGTTGTTGTGAGACTGGTATCCTTGAAACGCAGCTTGTTGTACCGGCGGTCTGGGATTAGCATTCGGACGACGTCCGGCATTCGGGTTCGCCGGCTTCCATCCCACATTGTTCATGATGGGAGATATGACACGAAGTGATTTGGAATTTCTCATGGAAGCAAGGATTTGTGTGGAACCAGGAATTAGGTAATGGATACAAGATTACCAAGTGTGAATGTGTGGAAAGAAAAGTGACTGTGGAACGTGTGAGAAGTAATTGACCTGGAGAAGAGATAAGGATGGGCCTTAGAGTCTGGAAGCACTACGATGCTCAGTCCAGACTCGCCCTCGTCCTGACTACGGGTACTTATGATTGTGAAAAGTGTTGGTGCAAACGTATTGTACCAAGCACCCGGTATTGCCTGAGTTTGGCCCAGAAACGTCAATCCCAAGCTCAAGAACGTTACCAACAAGGACTATTTGCGCACAAGACTCACGATCCAAGAAGAGATGAACAACAGATGGAGTGGTGACATGTTCTACAAGCAGTGAAGAGCATTATATTTCAGAGTCCGACCAAATATCCCATAATTCCGTGACTAATTCCTGAATC